CCCCACGTCATCTCCCCTCTTGTAAGGACAAAGTCAGGAGAGGTGCAAAGTCTCCACTCAGCCTCTGGCCCCAGTGATCCTGACCTCCTTTGTGTGTGTGTGTGTGGGGGGGGGTAGACCACCTCACTGAGCCTCAGTTTTCCAATCTTAAAAATGGGACAAGTCCCAAGAACCAGGAGCTTCCATGGCCTTATGCAACATCTAAGGAGCTCTCTCATATCCATAATCAAAGAAAACTTATCACATGACAGGTGCTTATTTAAATGATCCCAACCACAGCCCTTCAACAGGGGACCTTGACCACATGAAGTGTAGGGTGACAATGACACAACTCAGTGTTGGGGAAACACTTCACTTGGCCTGAAGCCTGGCTCCTGGTCAGCCCATGACTAATGTGCGTTCTTACTATGACTCTTTCTGATCCATCTCCCTTCATTTTCAAGACCCTGCTTCCACAAGAGGTTGTCAACCACACTGAGAGGCCTGCCAGAAATAATGGGGTCACCTCTCTAAGCCCCATCAGTGACATGAGATACTAACAGGACCATTCCCCCAGTGCTGTGGAAAAATTTCAGTGGGGTAAACCTGTGCCAAGAGCCCAGCATACAGTAAATGCTCAATAACAGAGAGCTATTATTAATCCTGACATGACTATTATTACATATTGGCACCACCAAGCTTTTTAATATAGGGTCACTGCCATCAGCATGGCTGTTGATTTCTGTTCCTAACCAATATCCCTTGAATCCTCAAGAAAAGTTGGTGAGATGCATCTTAGGGACTTTACAGATGAGGAAACTGAGTCTCAGAGAGGCCTGGCATCATTCTAAGGGTCACCTGGCAGAGATAGGATTCCAAGGGTCCAACCTCCAGGTGCCTGCCCCTCTGGCTGTGTCCTGGCAGGGATAATGAGAGTTGACCCTTTGTGTTCATCCCAGTCCACCCCCCACCCCCTGCACACACCCAGGGCTTGTCTGCTGGGAGCTACTTCCTCCTGCCTGGCCTCCTGATTCCCTCTGGTGCCCTTCTCACTCCCAGGGCTTCTCTCAGGACTGGGCACATCCTGCTTGCCCCCCTGCCCTCCCTGAGGTCAGGGCCAGCATGGCACTCACCAGCTGCTGATCCGATGGGTGGCGGAGGTGGCACAGGGGAGGGCTTCGCTGAGGCCGGGATGGGGCTGCCCGTCTGCAACAGAGAGGGGAGACCCTGAGGGGCTGGGGTCCCCCTGGCTGGGGCCCTTCGCACCCCAGCTCTGGAAGCCCTACCAGGCACCTTGCAAGGGCCCGGCTCCCCAACCCTCTCCTCTGAGAGGCCGTTGGCCTCTACATTCCTGAGCCCTGAAAGGGGTTTCCTTGGAGGAGTCCCCTTAGCTCTCCTGGGGGATACCAGAGGCTTGCTGCCTTCAATGGTCTTCTCTTTGTCCCTGCTGGGCAGCCAGGGTGATTTTTTAAAGTCACACACTGGTAAAAACTCAGCTGGCTGCTCATATCTACAATAAAAGCCAGATTCCAACCACCACCTATGAGGGCCTGTGAGGGCAGACCTCTGCAGGTCTTTCTAGCCTCACTTCCCTCTCCTCAGCCCTCACTCACTCCACCCCAACTGCTCTGAAGCCTCAAGCCCACCTAGCTCTTTCTGGCATGGGGCCCTTGCACTGGCTATTCCCTCAGCCTGAAGAGCCCTTCCCTAGCCACCTGCCAAAGTGAGCTTCTGTGGTTTCCTCTCTCATCACCTATTTCATTTCTTTCTTAGCACTCTCTGAAACTGCCTAGTTCCTTCTCTGGATGACTGTATGCTTGTGTCCCCTGCTAGCATGTAAGCACCCCTCAAGGGGGTGCTTTTCAGTCTCATTCACTGCAGCACCCAGAGCCTGGCATACAACAGGTGCTCAAACAATACTGGCCAGATGATGAGTGAGAAACCTTCTAGCCTGAGCTGCAGAGGTCCCATCCTGCCTTCCAGACCCCATTCAAGCCTATATTCTACAATCAAATCCTCTCCTGGGAGCCGTCACACAGATAGAGCCAACTCTCCATTATCCGCCTGTAGAGCCAACGCCTGGAGCAACCACAGGGATCCTGTGTGCTTCCTCTGCCCCCCTCCCACCCTGGCAAGGCGAGCATGCCAATTGGGGCTCCTGCCAACAGCCTTGGCCAAGGTTAACACACTGGGGTAACTTGCACCCTGTCCAGAGCCTGACAGATGCAATTGCTGGATTACTATGAATTTGAAGAAGGGCCAGAAAGGGGACTAGTGCTGAGGCTCACTCTTTTTCCAATCCCTGACCATCAAATTTGCCCAGGACAGTGAGAGTTGACTGTCAGAAACCCAAGTAAAGTATGGGCGGGAACGGGTAGAGGGATAAGAAAGTTGTGATCACTGACTGAGGTCCTTTGTGCTGAGCCTGAGAGAAGGTGACTATTGTGGCCTCCAGAAGGTGAGGATGCTGATGGAAGTATAGAAATTCATTGTCCAGAACAGCTTACCACCCTTGGTGCTATTTATATTTGGGGCCAATTATTCTGGGGGTGGGGGGCTGCCCTATGCATTGCAGGATGGTGAACAGCATTCCTGGTCTCTACCCACTAGAAGCTGGTAATCCCTGCCCCCCACCCATGCAGTTATGACAACCAAAAATGTCTCCAGATATGGTCAAAGTGTCCCCTGGGGGCAGAATCACTCTTCGTTTGAGAACCCCTGGAGTAGACAGACGCGGAGCAGAGACAGGCCAGGAGTATGCTTGGAAGCAAGGGCAGGTGTCAGCGTGGGAGGATGGGGTGGGTGGGGTGTTGGAGACCGTATGATGGTTGGGAAAGCCAGGTTTGAACCAGCACAGGAATCAAGACCACAAGCATCAGAAGTATGAGCTTCTCAGGATGGCACAAACAGTTCACTGGCAACAAGCCCCAGCACAGTCACAAGTCTCAGGTTCCAGGCATCCTGCTTCTGAGATTCTGGGACCTTAAGCTCCTGAGATTCCAGGCGTCCCAGATTTGATGATTCTGTGATTGCCATTGTCTAAGAATGCCACGAGCCAGGGGGCTGTGTTGGCCTCTTTGAGCAGCTCCAGTGAGGCTCCTATTTTTAGTGACAGTGACTTTGAAGGAAGCAGGCCAAGCAGAGTCCCATATCCAAGACACCTGGGGGCCAGGAGCTCACCCAATCAGTAGGGATTCAGTCCCTATGGGTCAGACAAGGCTCTCAGTTGCCATGCCAAGGGGCCCTTATGGATTCCTACCTTCTGGGATCCCTGAAAGGTTTGAAAATGAGAGAGGGAATACAAGAAGAGTGTCTATGAGCAGCTTGAACCCAAGCCAGGCAGCATGGCAGAGTGGCCAAGAACCTAGACTTTGGAGTTAGATCCTAGTTCAAGGCCCAGCAGCGACCAGAAGGGCATGCCTTTCCCATTCCAAGTCTCAGTTTCCTCTCTGTACAGTGGGAATAGCCACCAACCCAGTTTCACACAGCAAGTGACTGGTGCCAAGGAGATCCCAGTAAATGTTCCATCCACAGAGGCAGCAGTAGTGGGGAGGGAAGGAGGTTGGAGTGCCTAGGGGGTCGGGGCTGGTTCGGAGACATCCCAGGTTGGAAGCTGGAGGCTGGCCCCAGAGCCTCAGGCCCCTGCTCACTCCGTGCTCTGATTTCCTCTCCAGTCTAGGCTCCACAAGGGCAGATTTGGTGTTCATCCTCTGGCCCCTGGTCCCGATACCAGTACGCACCAAACTTCATCAATCTGTGTGAACCATCTTAGCCCCCTAAACCTTGGCTGTACCTGGGAGAAGCCAAACATTGGTGGGTGGTTACAGGGAAGTTGTGGGGGCTCCAGGCTAACAGCCATACTAGATGACAGAGGAGGCAGTAGACATATCCATGTCCAGGTGGAGAAGTTTGAGGGTAACCATTCCAGGGGTGCCCTGGGGGGATTCCAAGGGCTGGGTGGGGCTGAGGGAGGGCCTAGGCTTCAGAGTGGAACAGCAGCCCCAGTAACTGTTCCTATTTATAGACATCACAAGACTCCTAGGGCAGGTGCCTGTGCCAGGAAAGGGGGGTGAAGTAGGCTGAGAGGGCAGCAGGGGATCAGGGGGAGTGAAGCCCAGGCCCTCCTCCAACCTCCAGGCCAAGATCCCACTTCAAGTCATCCCCACCCCATGCCCCCATTTGCTCAGAGACACCACTAATGGTGGACCTTGCCCTCCTCAGCAGCCACATTCCCCTCCTCCCAGGAACATGCACTGGACCCTAATTGATTCCCTGGGGGAACTGAGAACACACCTACCTACTTACCTGGGGCTTTTGCTAGGTAGAGAAGACACATCCAATACATCAGACCCAGACCCAGAAAGGACCCCAGGACCCCAGAGCCTATTCCCTGGGGCTCCCACAGCCCAGATCCTGGGCCTGCTCTATAGAGGAGTTGTGGGGACACTGTGGCCTGGGACAGGGTCCTGCGTCTCTCTCCGCCTTGGTTTCTAAGGGGTTGGAAAGGGGATTGCTAAGGTTCCCTGAACTCTGATAGCCTGCAGGTCTCACCCTTCCATTCCCCTGTATAATACCTTCAGGTGCTACCAGTCACCTCCGTGCCATTGAATATATGGAGCCCACTGCCTAACTCGCTGTTCCTCATCCTCGATTCCTAGATGCCCCCCAGGCTGGACCAGCCTGGGCTTCCCCCATTGCAGCTCCAGCAACTGTGTCATAACACCTGGTGGTTGGTCTGTCTCCCTGATCCCAAATGGCATGGTCCATGAGAGTGGGGATGGTGTGTATGCTTGGTCACTGGCTGTGCCCCAGTGCCCAGCCCAAGAAGTTGTTCTGTCAATATCTAAGCATCATGAATGTTGCTAAGGGTGAGTGGGGGCAGGTCAAGGATGCCTTGATGGAGCATGGGCTTAAGGATGAGTGCTGTCGAGCCAGGTTACTGACTAGCTTTATGACCTTGGGCAACTTAAACCCTTAGGGTCTCTTTATCCATCTCTAACATGGGGCACTAATAACAAAGCTACCCCACAGGGTTCTTTTAAAAATGCCATGAGAGGATCGCATGAAGGGGTTGGCATATAGGAACCCCCTAACTGGGTGCTTGCAGATTCCTGGAAACCAAGGCTTTCAGGGCAGGCCAAGGAGATGAAGGGAGATGTGTCTGGTGCATCAGCTTGTGCTGCCCCCACCACTCTCCAGCCATACCAGGCTCCTGCTTGGTCCTTGAATATGCCAGGCTCCTCCTCACCAGAGGGCCTTTGCATTGGCCATCCCCCCGACCTGGCTTGCCCTTCCCATCATTCATTCCATGCTCCACTCAAATTTCACCCCCTCAGAAAGGCTTTCCCAAGTCCCCCAGGCATGGGCCTAGCACTCGAGTACCTTCACTGTATCTGTCACTACCTGCCCTTATTTCTTTAGTTGCTTGTTGTCTGTCTCCTCTACTAGAATGTCAGGCCCCTGAGGGCAGGGACTTGTGCCTCTTTTGTTTATATCTGTATCCCTAGTCTAGAACAGAGATTGGCACATAGTAGGTGCTGAGCATAATGAATAATTTTCAGGTGGGGACAGTCTGAGATCACCTTTTGCTGGGTAAACCGAGGCACAATGGGGTGGATGGCATCCCTGACTATCCAATCTCTCCCCAGCCACTAGAGGGCACAAGCTGCCTTGGCTCATGGCTCAAGGGCAGAACTCACCAACGCAGTGCAGCAAGGAAGAGCCAGGATAGACTGCTGAGGCTGGGTAACCCTGGGGAACAAGTAGGCTCAGGGTAGGGAGCTTAGGGTTCTAAGGTGGGCACCTGGACCCAATTAGTGTGCTCAGAGGAGGGAGCCAGGCAGATCTGAGTTCAAGTTCCAGCTCCTTGTCACCCACTGTAGGGCCTTCGTCAGGTCATTGGCTTGCAGGGCCTCTGTTTTAACAACTGTAAAATGCAAAACTAAGCAGAGTGCAAAGAGAAGGTTCTGGACCCAAGAAGAATCTGTATCCCAACTCAGCCTCTGCTAGGCTGGGTGACTTGGGGCCCTGTCTGAGCCTTGGGAACTGGGCTGGATGCTCCCCCAGGGCCACAGGGCCCACTCTCTTACCAGAAATGCCACCTCTGCCATCCAGAATGTCTCGGGGGCCCTCCTTGGTGACAGGCAGGTAATGGGTAGACCGGAAGATGCCACCATCCCCCTCAGCTGCCTCAGCCCCACCTTCGATGTCTTCCCTTGGAGCTGGGCCAGGCAGTCTCTCAGGGCCTCGAGGACGGTCTGGGGCAGCCAGGCCGCCTGCCAGGGGTCCATCCATGGATGCTCTCCGCTTGGCTCCACTCAGCTGCTGGGCTGGCTCAGCAAGGCATTGTAGATCTGGGGGCAGAGAGACAGGTGCTTAGGGGAGGTAGGAAAGGGACTCTCTCAGTTTCTCCTTCTTTGAAGCCCCAGTCCTCACCCTTAGAGCGCAGTACCTAAGTTTAACTTCCAGCCCAGGTGAGCTAAATAAATGGTGCTGAGGCCCTATCCACATACAGTGTACGGAGAACACTTATCTTTACACAGATCCTGTGCTGCCTCAGTTTACCCATTTTTATACATGCACACTCAGCCAGCTTGTTTTATTCCAGCATTAATCCTATCACTTCTCACAGATGCCTCCCTTTTGCACTTTCCCCAAATGTGCCCTCATTCCATGCACACATATACCCTATGCCCACGCCTTGGCATGCATGCCGGCCACTTCTACACTCTGATCTTATACCCTAAAGTCCCCCCATCATTACCCCTGCACTTTTCCCACACTCCAGCCCTCCCCCACACGATCTTAGTGTTCTCCAGCATTAATACCTTCACCCTCACAACAGCCCAGTGACCCCAGATTAACCCCTTTGCTTTCCCCCAACATTACCCCTCATGCACACCCCAACCTGAGCTCCTCCATCCCACCCTCCCAAGACCTCTCTAGTCTGCAGGCAATGGGGATGGATGGGGCTCCTGGTCCATAAATGAGGACCCTGAGGAGGCCATGAGGGTGGGGGCTGTCCTCTACACCTATAAATACCTTCAAGGTAACGGCAGAAAGTGAAGGGCAGGAATGAGGCGCCCTCCCTGGGGAGATGGTGGGGAGACCGGGCCCAGGCAACCGGGGCGGGGCCGGGGCTCCAGGCCTGGCTGCAGGCGCTGCCCTGGGGGCCTGAGGGCTCCCAAGGGGCTCGTCCGTGGACTGGCAGTCGTGGCCGGGGTCCCTGGCCAGGCCTGGAGGAAGCACCTGCTGGTGCCCACCCGGTGGGCAATGCCGGCGGGGAACCCGCGGGACCGCAACTTCGGAGCACTTTGGCAGCGTGGGGAAGGGGGCTCCTGTCTGGAGCCCCCCCGGGAGTCGCAGGAGTGGGAGTGGCGCCGAGCCAGCACACCCCTCGGGGGACCGAGGTCCAGGAGCTGCGCCCTCCGCCCGTGCATCTCGGGGTGGGAGACCCCGCGGGACGCGCGGAGGTGGGGGGGACACCTGCCCCAAGACCCCCG